GACAAATTATAAATAGTATCATCACAAGTGTTTATTACATCACAAATATTAAAACATAGTCTTCACATAAAAGTAGCAGAAGTATAAAGAAAAGATCTCTCGCGGAAGCTCCATGTCATAGGGACGTCAACTAGTTGACCACAAGTCTAGTAATCCTCAGGAAAGTCATCATTACCATAGCCATCTGTTACCCATCTAGGATTTTTATCCAAATAATGAAAATAAACAAGCGTAAGTACATGTCGTACTCAACAAGTGTAACATGGGGTTCATGAGGCTCAAAAGGCTTGACACAGGTTTAACAACATTCATCTTTTAGTTGTCACAATTTTAGCATAAGAGTAGCAACAAGTTGTTTCAATCCCAAAGTAAAATACATGATCAATGTAAACTTGAATAATGAATAGCATAAACAGATAATTCTTAGTGATCATCTATTCCATAAGGGTCCAAGGCCGCTCATGACAATGAGCACAGCTGATATACCAGTTTTACACTCTGTAGAGGTTGTACACTTTCACTGTGAGTCGTGATACCCATATGCCCGGATTAATTACTCCCAAAACACTTCCAAGGTGAGCAGGTAGGGGTTACTATGAAGCCTTTCAAAGGTTTGTCTAACAAGTTAGGGCCATTAGATTCACTCGGCAAACAGATATAGGAACCCCCTGTCGAATGGCATAATTCCATCACGGCTATACACATAAGAGTAGATGTTGTCCTATACCTAATTTAGCAAGCCATTCTTATGCCAATAAAGGTAACCACTAACAAGCTAGAAAAGGTCCTCATACTGAGCTAAAGCCAGAGCCATATAGCCCTCACAGCTGTACTGTAAGTCCCGGATGATCACTTACAGATAAGTCCTTAGAAAGTAGCTAAATACTCCAGCCCCCTGTTTTCAAGTTGCTAAAAAGTTATATTTTAATGTTTATTGCATATTCCATTAATCAAGTTACAAGATCATGGTTTAATTGAGCACTAGCAAAGCTACCCAATGCATATCCCATAGGAGACAAGGTACAAGTTCAATTCTAGGGAATCTCTATCAAGGTGACACATGCAACATGAAATAAATATATTAAAGTTGATATGTAACAAGGATAATCCCATGCTATACTTGCATTGAACAAAGTACTCCTGTAGTTGTCGCTCATCAAAGTAGTACTCTTGGTCACCCACGAATTGCTCACCGTCTATACTCGATAACCACAGCAACATACAAGCATCTAGAAGCAATCATGCATAGCAAACAAAAGCTATAGATTAGAACAGTACACCAATCAACATAAAATCAAGATGAAAAGCTTGTAAAACGAATCAACGTCTCGCTACGATCACACAGACGCGAAGATCACAAAAATCAGAGCTAAAACGAAGAAGTTATGATTTAAATAAGATTTTCTTTAGTGAAATAATAGATTAAATCTAACCTCAAATTTTATGAGTTGAAAACATACCTAATAGTAGTATGAACATGTAGTTTATGGAATTACGAACCTAACGCAAGTTGAATGGATCAAATCGGAGTTAAAACAGAGATTTTATGGCTAAAATAAGATTAGTGGCAAAACTGTAAATAGGTGAAAACATATTTTGGATCTAAACCGAAGGAAACTATGCTTTCTAAAAGAAGAAGGCGCATTCGGTGATTGCGCTTTGGACTGTGGGTTCTATAATTAAAAACTCGAGGGACCCTTTTGCAAAATGGCCTGCCGAATCGGTATCAATGAATACCGGGCGTTGGATCTCGATCTAACGAACCAGAACGGATCAGGCGGGGATAAGACATCACCGGCTGGCTGGCGAAGAGCCCCAATGGCAGCGCCATGGCCAGAGTGGGTGACGCTCGCGGTTTAGAGCCTATGGACCACCGTTTGACGAACCAAAGACACGGGGAGAAAGAGGGGACGACGGCGGACTCACCGAGACCGGAAACAAGGGCGGGAGACCGACGATGGCGCGTGGCGGCTGCGAGCTCTAGGCAAGGGTGAAAGCTTGCTCTAGGGTTAGGTAGGAGAGCGGCGCGGCATGGTCTCAGCTTTTATGAGGCGGGGCGGCGTGGGCAGCACGCCAAGACACGTAGAGGAGGCGGACTCGGCGGCGACGGCGGCGGCGGTGTCCGGCTCGGACACGATCCGAAGGAAGAGGACGACGCTGACCGGTGGGCCCGACGTGTCAGTGATTCAATGCGCGGGGTTGGGCTGTCAGCCACACAGAGAGGGAGGAAGGGCGCGGCGCATTGGCTGGCTGCGGGCCGAGCGAAGCTAGGCCGCAGGTGCTTGCTAGGCCATGGGCGCAGGCGCGGGAGTTAGGCAGGAGAAAAATAGGCCGCGCGGAACTGGGCCAGCGGGCAGGAAGCAAGGAAGGGAAATAAAATCTATTTTCCAAAGTAATTTCCAAACAACTTATGATTGCAAATTCAAATCAATTTGAAATCTGATTTCAAACCACACAATACAAAAATAATATGCAGCAGCATAAATGCATAAACATATAGGTAACCTTATATTTGATTTTAATTTGATAAAATTTATTATTTTGCTATGTTACATGCTCACACTAATGCATAAATAATTCCAATTCTCCTATTTTCAAAATGTTGAAAATTTTAGGGTGTTACACTGTGGCCTCCGCCTTTGCCAAGCGGCCTCTTGCTCGTGGTACCGCGGCCTCTGCCATCACCAAGCGACCTCTGCCCTCCTTTGCTGGGCGACCTTCGCCTGCCTTCGCCGGGCGACCTTCGCTCGCCTTCGTCGGGCGACCTCTGGCCTTCGCCTCATGCGGCCATCAGTGCGGAGGCCTTCTTATAACTTTCCTGCACATCACACGAAAAACTAGTTCACTTGTTAGTCTCCGCTGTCTCCAGACTCTGGCCTCCGCAGCTCGTGGTCATTCCCCAACAATATTCATTGTTCTTTTCTCCTTGAAGCCGAGAAGATGTGTTCTCTCTTCACTGTTGCCTCCCTTCTTTCCTTTTGACTTGCAATCTATGGTTGAATATTTCTTCGTATTTTGTGCATCCTGCTCCTCTCCTTCATATCTATCACCCCTTCAAACTTTCTACTTTGCATTGTTTAATTTGAGATTGTCTTGATTTTTTTATCTATGTACTTAGTTTTTTTCCTCCTTCATCTCTAAATATAGTTCTACATTGCTTCTTCATTTTCTATCTACATGAACCAGATTATGCCTCTTTTTATATTATAGATCCACTATTTCATTTGATGCCATTATGTATTTCAGGGGATATTTTCCATTGCATTTGATGCTATTATGTATTATTTTGCTACACTATGAGAAAGTTGTTTTCTTCTAGAAAGCATGAGTTACATATTTCCCGAAACTTGGCAGAATAATTCAGCATAGTGATTAGTATGCACTTCTACCACAAGAAAATTGCAAATGATGTTTCCTCTACATATGTATTGGAGGGGATGGTGGGTGGCTTTTGTTAGTTATCACCTCAGCATGGTCCCTATAAACCGTCCCAATATGTCAGCTTGGTGTTCTGATTTTTGAATTCGAGCATCATAGATTGATCATAGTAGATCTACTAGTTTGAGCTTGGTCCTCATGTGAGAGTGGTCTTGGGTTGTTGTTATTGATCATAGATTGAGGAATTTTTTCAATCATTTATTCGTTTAGCTCTTGGGTTGTTGGTATTGAAGAAAGATTTAAATAGGGAAACAATTGATTCTTTTGCATGCATAACTATAATATTCATCGGATGTTCTCTTGGATGTTTAATGTTCTTTGAGATTCTATAGCTCTGTACTTCAACTGATAGTTGCTAGTGGTTTTCTAGTAACGGGAGTTGGTCGCTGGCATTATATAGTTTCTATCTTCTAGTATAGTTCCTAACTAATTGAGCTTCCATACTACTTTTAGAATGTGTGGTCATGAGGGTGCTCAACGCCTTGTTTAGATTGCAAAAAAGTGAACCCGATGAATAGTGCCACTTTCGTCTTATTTGGCAAATATTGTCCAATCGTGGATCAACTAGGCTCAAAAGATTCATCTCGTGATTTCCAACTAAACTGTGTAATTAGTTATTTTTTTACCTACATTTAATACTCCATGCAAGTGGCTAAAAATTGATGTGATGAGAGAGAGTGAAAAAACTTGGAATTTGGATGACATCTAAATAAGGCCCAAGTACTTCTGTATAGTACACTATTTTTAGATACCAAACATGCTACATTTGATTAGTATACTATTTTGCATGCATATATATGCACTGTTTCCATTTTAGGTCTATATATCCACTATTTCTTTCTATGCCACCAAGTACTCAAGCGAATGTTTTCTGTTGCGTATTTTTTGTGAAAGCCTAGAAATACTACTTTAAAGTGTTTGTCTAACATTCTAGAGGAAACATCCTTTGCAACTTTCTTTTGGTTGAAGTGCATATAAGAACTATGTTTATTTTGTTTGCCAAGTTTTGAGAAATTTAAAACTCACGCAATCTGTAATCAAGCAATGCAACTTTCTCATAGTTAAAAATATAAGATAGTGTTGCATGACAATCCATTTTTGAGCCGATGTACATTCCTGCATAGCTATTGATATCGATGGTGAATGTGTGCCATAAAAGAAAGATCTCATTTTGTTTTAACTGAATACAAAGTTACCCTTGCTTTTCATATTTGAGATTTACACTGATTTCACTTTTTTTTTCTTTGGACATCAGCTTCTTACTTGGTCTTTGATACAAGAAGTAGCATACATAACATGGGACGACAGCCTGAGGGCATGCATCTGGTTTCGGAAAGGACTGAAGGACGTATTTCATAACAAGCTGTGGAAAGTAGGGGCATTGAAAAGGCTATGCCAGAAGAACTATCTGTTACTTTATCTGATAAAAGGGGTGCTTTGCTTGCAATGAGAGATCACACAACTTGGATTAGTGCAAGATAAAGTACAAACTTGTTTCTGCAGCACATCAATTTGGTTATGCTACAAAATTCCCATTTACCGTTATTCAGCCTTCAGATGAGATGGTTGAAAAGAAGAAATTTTACCATCACTGTGTTCTCATAAAATCTGATGTCACTAACATGGACAAGGGTATATTGAAAGATGAACTCAAGATGTTTTGGAAGCTTTCTGGCGATTGGGAGTTAAGAAGAGAATGCAATATGACTTTCCTGGCCTCCTTCAGCTCAGAGGGTGACGTAATAAGTTGTTTAAAGAACCCTAAGATTGAAACATTACTGGAAAATAAGGAGGTGAAATTGACAGTGACAAGGTGTAAGGAAGGCGATGATGGAAGTCTTGACTTGGTTGAAGAATTGCATTTGGAGTTTTGATCGATGTGGATGAGGAAAGTTTGGAAGTTGGGGATAAGGAGCCTATTAGGCTGAAGACAACATTCAGAAGTTTTGATGGTGCTCCCTTGTCTTACTACTTTGCATTTGGATAGTCTTCAAAACTAGTAATGGTCACAGCAGTACAAGACAAACAGAAGGTATGAAACATAAAAATAAGGAGTTAGACAAGGAGCATAAAAAGGAACTTCATGCAGCAAAAAGTATATTGCTGGAAGAGCCGAAGGGCATTGAAGAGTCAATATCAAATGGAAAGGCCAAAGAAAACAAAATAAGTGCTCCAGCAGCCACAATAACAAACTCTGAGATAACAATCACTAGTAGAGAACAGACCTTTGATCCTCGATCAAAATGGGCTCTAGTTCCGAATTTTTTTTTGCCCGGGACTAGAAATACCTTTAGTCCCGGTTGGTGTCTCCAACCGGGACTAAAGGTCCCCCCACCTCCTCTGTGCCGTTGGCAGGGGGACCTTTAGTCCCCGTTGGAGCCACCAACCGGGACTAAAATACTTTTACTCCCGGTTGGTGGCTCCAACGGGAGTAAAGGTCTACTCCTCGGGCCGTGGCTGCGCCGGGGTTGGAAAGTTACTTTTAGTCTGGTTGGAGCCACCAACGGGACTAAAGGTCCCCTTTATATCCCGGCCATCTCCTTCTTCCTCCCCGAGCCCGAGCTCAGCACATTTTGAAGCTCACTGCACTAGTGTTCTTGCTTCCTCCCTCCCTCCATTGTTCCTCCATCCATTATTCGATTCCTCCGTCGATTTCTTCGATTCCTCCATCGATTCTTCAGCTGTAAAGGTTACCAATCTCATACTCTCATTTTTCACCATTGTCTTATTTCATTTTGTTCACTATATATATATATATGGTTCTTTATTGTGGTTTTTTTCATTTGTAAGCAATTTGAGCTCAAAATCACTTCAAGCTTGCATATTTACATGAAATAAGGTTAAAGTAGCTAGTTGAACTTGAGGACCGTGTTCATCTCGGCGAGCACGTTCTCTGCGTAAAGCGGTAACGGACGTCAAGGAGGAGCTTTGATTCTACGAGGAAGAGCGGCAGCGGTCGTGGAAGACCGTGTTCCTTCCTCGTAGAATTGGAGCTCTTCCGTGGCCAGAAATGCACGGTGCCGTCGGTGGAGAAATGCTCGCCGAGATGATCACGTAAGCAAGGTCAACTAATCTGGATGGTTATTTATTCACATGTCCCGATATCGTCGCAGTAGTCCGTCAATCACCGTACCCAATCGTAGTATATATATAAATATAAACTTAGAAAATAGTTAGAAAATTATAGAAAATCCATACTAGTTGAACTTGCGGACCGTGTTCATCTCGGCGAACACGTTCTCGCCGAAAGCTGTAACGGACGTCAAGGAGGAGCTTTGATTCTACGAGGGAGAGGCGGCAGCGGTCGTGGAAGACCGTGTTCCTTCCTCGTAGAATTGGAGCTCTTCCGTGGCTGGCACGGTGCCGTCCGGTGGAGAAATGCTCGCCGAGATGATCATGTAAGCAAGGTCAATTAGTACGGATGGTTATTTATTCACACGTCCCGATATATCGTCAGTAGTAGATCGTTATGTGTGTACACTCCCATTCTCTATTAATTTGCGGAAATATCATGTGAATTACTTACCGCCGATAAAAAGGCGAGAACACAATGACCATTAAAAATATCATTGTTTAGAAATCTAGATAATTTTATAGTTTCTTAATTTTATTTGTTTATAAAAGGAGAAATTTATAGTGTATTAAAAATGAGTATAGAGAGTAGATGACAATCGCTGCCTCCGGGTCCTCGGCCTCTCATGGGTTTCCAAAGCGACTTAGGCGGGCCTCCCTCTCATTCCATGCGGCAAGTGTCGTGATGAGGCGAAGATTGTGATAGAGTACCGAGTGAAGAAGGAGGGTCCCAACAAGGATCGTATCTTCTACAAGTGTCCGGATCACAATGTGAGTTATTTTATCGTATTTAATGATTATGGTTAGTTTATACCTATTTTCATGATGGTTGTGATTAAAGTTCTAATTTTTGTTTTAATTTCATTGGGATGGCGGTGGGCGATGTTCGGGCTTCTCTTTGGGAGGAAGAGTATGTTGAACTCGTGCAAAAATATCTTGCACAACAGGCAAATATGGCGGCTAATGAGGCAGTGATCCAGCCGAAGAAGCCCAAAGATGTTGCACAATTGGGGGATCTGTCTGTTTTAGTTGAGATTGATCGTGAAATCCTAGCGCTACTGAAATGTATTTTAGCTTTAGTTCTTTTAGTGGTAGTTGGGATTGTCTATATTGTAGCGATGCTTTCATAAATTTGTATCTTTTGTAGTGGCACGCATGTTGTATAAATAATTAATTATGATCTAGGTTTTAATATGGTATTTATGTTATGTAATGCAGATGAGCCGTCATTGGATGTATAATGCTGATCGCCGCTCCCAAGAGTTCATTGACGGTGTGCATTCTTTGTTACGTGCGGCCGAGGCAAACAAACACGACGGTTTCATATGCTGCCCATGTGCCATATGTAAGAATACGGTGGAATATCCTTGCTCAAGGACTCTTCATTCACACTTGTTCAAGTCGGGTTTCATGCCAAACTATATTTGTTGGACAAAGCACGGAGAAACCGGTGTTGTAATGGAAGAAGGTGAAGAAGAACAATGGGGACGACAATGATATTATTCCCAATGGTGTGTGCTTCAATGATCTTGCAATGGGAGAAGCTAAAGAAGAGGTAGCCGCAGAAGATGAGCGGTGATGATCTTTCTCAGGTCATTCGTGGCGCACAAAGAGAATGTGAAAGTGAAAAGGAGAAGATCAAGTTCGAGCGGATGCTAGAAGATCACAAGAAATTGTTGTACCCAACTTGTGATGCAGGCGAGAAAAGTTGGGAACCACACTAGAATTGCTGCAATGGAAGGCAAAGAATGGTGTATCGACAAGGGATTTGGAGAGTTACTAAAAATTCAAAAGAAGATGCTTCGAAGGACAATGAATTGCCCGCCACTACCTACAAAGCAAAAAACAAGTTATACGTCCTATGGGGCTAGAAATAGAGAAGATACATGCATGTCCTAATGATCGCATCTGTGCACGTGTGGCAAAGAGTACGAGAAATTGGATGCATGTCCGGTATGCCATGCGTCGCGGTATAAGATCAGGCGAGATGACCCTAGTGATGTTGAGGGCGAATGTCCGCGGAAGAAAATCCCTGCCAAGGTTATGTGGTATGCTCCTATAATACCACACTTGAAACGTCTGTTCGAAACAAAGAACATGCAAAATTGTTGCGATGGCACAAAGAAGACCGTAAGGTAGACAATATGTTGAGACACCTGGCTGATGGGTCCTAGTGGAGAGCAATCGACGAGAGAATTTCGAGTTTGCAAATGACGCAAGAAACTTAAGGTTTGCTTTAAGTATAGATGGTATCAATCCTTTTGAGAGCGTAAGCAGTAGTCATAGCACTTGGCTGTTACTCTAAGTATCTACAACATTCCTCCTTGGTTATGCATGAAGCGGAAGTTCATTATGATGCTGTGCTCATCCAAGGCCCGAAGCAACTCTGGCAATGACATCGATGTGTACCGAGACCACTTATTGACGAACTTCTCATTTTGTGGAATAAAGAAGGTGTACGTGTGTGGGATGAGTACAAACAGAATACTTTGATCTGCGAGCATTGTTGTTCGTAACAATCAATGATTGGCCTGCTCTAAGTAATCTTTCGAGACAGTCAAATAAGGGATATAATGCATGCACACATTACTTCGGTGATATTAGAGGTGTATTCTTGAAAAAAAATGTCGAAAGGTCATGTACCTTGGCCATCGTCGATTTCTTCCCGCAAATCACCCCGTAAGAAAGAAAGGCAAGCATTTTAAAGGGAAGGCGGACCACACGACCAAGCCTCATAACCGAACCGGTGAGGATGTACTCGATATGGTCAATGATGTGAAAGTCGTCTTTGGAAAAGGACATGGAAGCCAACCTGTTCCGAACGACGCTAACGGTCACGCACCCATGTGGAAGAAGAAGTCCATATTTTGGGACCTACCCTATTGGCAAGTCCTAGAGGTCCGTAGCTCGATCGACATGATGCACTGACGAAGAATCTCTTTGTGTGAACCTGCTAGGCTTTATGGGTGTGTATGGAAAGCCTAAGGACACATTTGAAGCATGACAGGACTGCGTTGTTTGAGAGAAAGAGACAACTTTGCATCCAGAGAGAAAGACAGATGATGGACGCCATTACTTATGTCCTGCTAGCTACACCATAAGCAAAGAGGAGAAGGAAATCATGTTTGAATCCTTAAACAACATCAAGGTACCATCTGGATTCTCCTCGAATATAAAGGGTATTATAAATGTTGCAGAGAAGAAATTCAGTAACTTAAAGTCCCATGATTTATCACGTTCTCATGACGCAATTACTTTCTGGGATTGCATTAAGAGGAATTCTACCTCCAAATGTACGTCTAGCCACCGTGAAGCTATGTGCATTCCTCAATGTAATTTCTCGAAGGCAATTGATCCAACTGATCTAGCTAAACTGAGAATGATGTGGTTCAATGTCTCGTCGACTTTGAGTTGGTGTTCCTCCTTCCTTCTTTGATATTATGACACACCTCCTAGTTCACCTAGTCAAGGAGATTTTCACTCTCGGTCCTGTGTTCCTACACAACATGTTCCCCTTAGAGAGATTCATGGAGTCTGAAGAAATATGTTCACAACCGTGTTTCGCCCGAGAAGGAAGCATCGCCAAGGGCTATGGAGCAGAAGAGGTCATTGAGTTCGTGTTGACTTTATTCCCGACCTTGACTCAATTGGTGTTCCTGAATCGAGACATGAAGGGAGACTAAGCAGAAAGGGGACACTAGGGAGGAAAACATATATTGGTTCGGATGATGATTATTTCAATAAAGTGCACTACACAGTTCTCTGAGAACTCCTCTTTGGTAGATCCGTATATTGAGACACA